TTTCAAGGCATTAGTTCACAAGGGGTCTCGGTGGATAAGGAGCTTCTTCCGCCGAAGTTCAATGCCAACGACATCCCGAAATTCAAAGCAACTAACAACCCTTATTTTCATCTAAGAGCTTTTGAAACAATAATGAGTATTAAGGGTATCGATAAGAAAGTGTTTCCCTCTCTGTTTTCCTTATCTCTTGAAACCGTTTGCCAACAATGGTTCTTCTCCCTTGACAAAGAGAGAACCTCTACTTGGGAGTCAATAGTTAACGCTTTCATTGATAGGTACAAGTGCAACATTCAAGCTGAAACTAATTATAGGGAATTTGAAATACTCAAGCAGAAAGAGAATGAAGGTTTCACTTCTTTCTTCAACAAATGGAGAGAAACCTCTACTAGGATGATTGAAGTACCAAGCAAGAAAGAATCCGTGAGGTTGTTCATCAAGAACCTTCAAGAGAAGTACTTCAAGCATCTCAAATACCAAAATAATATCCATACCTTCAAGGCCATCTATGACATTGGAATTAATATTGAAGACGACCTGGCTAAGCTAAAAGCTGCTAACAGTAACTCTAACAGTGGCTGGAAAGGCAAGAAGAATGACAATCCTTCTTCCAAAACCACCCACTCAAATAATGTTAGCACCTTCAATTTGAGTGAAGTCCTTGCTATGAACAATCAAGGACAAAAGAAACCATTTAAGAGGAACTTTACTCCTATAGGTATGAGTTAATACACCGCATTTGACCGACTAAATGCAAAAGGTATTATAACTCCTATTAGACCATTTGGGGACCCGCCGGTTGAAAAGAGGACAGCTAATTGGAACCCCTATGCACACTGCAAATATCACCAAGGTAGGGGCCATCTCACTGAGAATTATTGGAAGCTAAAGGAAGCTAAAAGAAGCTATCCAAGATTTAATTGATAACAATAAACTACCATTGCCCCCTTCCAGTAAGAAGCCAAGCATCGACAATGCACCTCTTGCTCATTCCTTGGCCATCTCTGATGAAGAAAATGAGGTTGATCCCTCATCTCTCATCAAGCCTATTAAAGAAATTCATGCTATTGAAGAAGAGGAGGAGATCTTTTTTGATGCCATGGATGACTTTCCTGAACCAGCAAGCAAAGAAGATGTACAAATGCTTATATGGTCCATGTGGGAGGGAACAGATTTGCTATGTGAGTCCCTCGAATTGGCAAAGAAACAAGCGGAGGAACTTCAGAAAAAGATTAATAAAATTCCACCCACAAAGAAGAAATCATTCTCTCTATAAGTAACTGACGGACCCAAGAACAGTAATAGACTCTACACTCCAATTGGGACTTCATATGCTAAAATGTTCAAAATGCTCTCCGAGAGTGGTAAGGTCAAACCTCTCAAACCAAGACCATTTGAATCGCTAAAAAGGATAGATAGATTCTACTGTCAATACCATCAATCAGGAGGACACACTATTGAAAACTATTTTAAGTTTAAAGATTTAATTCAGAAAATGATTGATGATAAAAAGCTAGTCCAAATCCCTGAAGAAGAAGACATGAGCATTAATGGGGTTTGGGACAGCGATGAAGAAGAAGTCTACCTAAAAGACATAGAAGGACCTCCACCTTCAGTGTCATATTCAATAGATGATTTCTGGGTTGAAGAGGATTCATTTATAGCGTCCTCACAAGATATGGGAGAACGCAACCTCCCATTTCAACACAACCTTTGTCGACTACGCAGCAAGTTCCCATACCTATCATAGAAGACAATGATATTGTCAAACAATTCAAGAAGAAAAGGTCGAGATGAATGTATGGAAGTTTTTAGCTACATCACGAGAACATAGGTTGGCAGTGATGAATGCCTTGGATAAGATAGGGATAGATTCTGACACCACTCCTGAAGGGTTGGCTAACTTCCTTACGAGTGATCTCCCTAGTCCTATCAACTTGATTACCTTTTCTGACAAAGATTTACCCCCAGAAGGTAACAAGCATTATAAGGCCCTAAACCTCACAGTGGTTTGCAAGAGAATGAACGTCCCAATGACTCTTGTTGACAATGGATCGGCAATTAATGTTTGTCCACTCAGAACTGTGAGGATGTTAGGCATAAGGGATGAAGACTTAACCCCGTCAACACAAGGAATAAGAGCTTATGAAAACACTCGTCGCCAAGCTCTTGGTAAGATTACCATGAATATAACGGCGAGAGCAATAGAACATGCTACTACCTTTCAAGTAGTAGATATTAAAGCTTCATTCAAATTATTGTTGGGACGCCCTTGGCTTCATGAAATAAAGGTCGTCCCTTCATCTCTCCACCTACAGGTAAAGGCCATAGTTAGAGGAATTCCTATCACGATCGATGCTTCACCCATGAGGATTAAAGCTATAGAAAATCCGATCATTAATGTGGAGCACGATGAAGACGATGAAGACTTATGGGGCTTTGATGAAGAGGTCTCCTTAATCGAGGAGGATGAAAGGACCCCTCTCTGCCACGACCCCCACTCCAGTATGACAATAAATGCTATTCTTAAGAAACAAGGGCGTTTTCCTGGAATGACTCTAGGAAAGAAGAAGTGAATAGCAAAACAGCTGGAATTACCAGGCATCCCTAAATTAGATACATTCGGACTTGGTTTCGAATCGAATTGGGAAGATCTTAAGCGAGCCCAGGAAAGGTCTAAGGCGCGTAGGAACGCTTGCATCCAAAAGAAAGCAATCTCAATGGATCAGTATCCTCTTACTATCAATGGACAATTCATAAAAGAAGGAGAGGACTATCCATGCTATGAATTTCCCGAACCTTTTGTTGTAAACGGCATAAGGCAACCAGAATTCGAGATTTTCTTAGATTGCCACTTTCTAGATGAAATCCCCACTCCTATCCACAAGGAGAAAGCACCCCCATGCTTTGACTTTAATGTCATGGGATTATTATTTGGGCGAGAAAAAGATGAGCCGAGATACATAGAGAATAACTCCTCGCTCATCCAAACGGTCCTACAAAGTGAGAAATTTGTCCCCTCAATGCTCATTACTCCAGCAGAAGGATCAGTACAAGATGGCGCAAGACAGTCAAGGTGACTACTCCAAGTGGAAGGAAAATCTCCATCACGATAGGGCAAGGACCGATGTTTGAAGAGTCGTCAGAGTCAGAGTCTTTTCCTGTAGAGTCATCTAAGTCCTTAGTTGTAGCACCTCCTCCTTCTTCTATTTCTACTCCTAGGATAGTCAGAAATTTAGTCCCTGAGGACATCTCCCTTTTCGATGTAATGATTTCCGAATTCAATAATATGTCTTCTTCTGCTTACTCCTCGTGCTTTTCTGTAACCCAAGATGACGAGCATTGCTTAACTAACAATGAAAATGACAAAGAAATTATTAAAGCAATGGAAACACTTGAAAAGCAAACACCGATAATTGAGGAAACTGAGACGGTGGATATCTCAAATGATTCAACCATTAAAAGAGAGGTTAAAATCGGATTAACACTTAATGAACAAGAAAGAACCGATTTAATTAAGGAAAAATGGAATCTAATAATCCCACCTTTAGTCGGCATTCCATAAACAATCCCACCTTTTGAAATTCAAGAAACAATCCCACCTTTGACTCCCATCTTCCATTAACAGTCCCTGACCGGTTGGATTATTTTAATAACTGGTCTTCTTAGGTTATAAGACACGTGTTGGATTTTAATTGGTTTATTTTAATATTTAATAATAATTAAAAAAACAAAACTAATTAAAAAAGAAAAAAACCAAAAACCCCAGCCTCAACCACACAACCGTATCTCCTCCCCATCTCCGCCCTTGCTTTCTCCGGCAATCCAACCCCTACCGTAGCTGCCTTGCTTTCCCAAAAACCCAACTACCCGAACCGCAGCCCATATCGTGCTCTTAATCTTCGCATGATACTACTCTAGCACTAAAACCCTTCTTTCTCCTTCTCTTTCTCTCTTCTCTTGGGTACGTTTCTCTCTCCTCTAAATTCATCAATTTTCCTTTCAATTCCATTTTTTCAGATGATTGAAATCATAATTTGCGTTTAATTTTTAACCAAAAATCAAATTGAGAGGCAATTGGGACTAGCGGGGGTGAGTATTCAGGGCTGGGGGTTGAGTTTTCAATGGGTGGCGATTTTCGGGCCTGTGGGTAGAATTTTCGGGGATAGGGTAGAGTATTTTAGGGCTGAGGGTTCAGTTTCAGGGCTGGGTGGGGTTTTTTGGGGCTATGGGTGGGGTTTTCGGGGATGTGGTTGGGTTTTGAGGGTGGTTATAGGATATTCCTGCATGGCTTGGTGGGTGGGGTGGTGGTAAGGGGTAAGTGTTGGGGTGGCCATGGTAGTGGCCTGGTGGCTTGAGAAGAATGTTTTTTTAAAAAATAAGAAAAAAAAAAATTTAACCTGTTTAACAGGTTGTAGGTCAATGGGATCGTTAGTGGAAGATCTATGTCAAAAGTGGGGTTGTTTCTGGAATTTCAAAAGGTGGGATTATTTATGGAATACTGACTAAAGGTGGGATTATTAGATTACATTTTTCCGTTAATTAATCTACTCAAAGAATTCATCGATGTATTTGCTTGGTCATATGAAGATATGCCAGGTATTAATAAAGAAATAGCTCAACACACTATACCACTAATTCCAGGAATGAAACTTGTAAAACAAAAGTTGCGTCGAATGAAACCCGACGTAGCTCTAAAAATAAAAGAAGAAGTTCAAAAACAAATAACTGCAGGTTTTATCAGGGTATCCAAATACCCTGAATGGGTGGCCAACGTCGTCCCAGTTCCAAAGAAGGATGGAAGGCTAAGAATGTGCGTCGACTATCGAGATCTAAATAAGGCAAGTCCAAAGGACGATTTCCCTTTACTACACATCGATATTTTGGTAGATAATACATAGAATCATGCACTTCTCTCGTTCATGGATGGATACGCAGGATACAATAAGATTCTCATGGCAAAAGAAGACATGGAGAAAATGTAACACCCAAAAATTCGAGTCTTTTAAAAACAATAAGAGTAACCTTTAACTTTCAAAAACCCAACCATCGAACTCTGGGAGTGTTACTGCTACACTTATTTTCCGTATAAAATAAATGCAAAGCAAAAAAAACATAATATTTAAATAAACTAAGTGGTCTAAGTTGTGGCAAAATAATATAGTCATTACATCAAAACTGCAATTATTTTGAAACCAATAGTTGAAAGGAAATAATTAAATTCAGAAATAAACTAAAGTGTCTTAGCTACGTGATTATTTTAACGTCTCCTCACACATAACCTAGCACCCTCTTACCAACCTGAAAAATAAATTAGAAACAAGAAAAGAGAGAAAACTTCCAAAAATCAAAAAAACTGAGTAATTCCAACTCCATCCCGTAAAATAAATAATTTTAGTTCAAAACATTTTATACATAATATAGTCTCATAAATATTTTAATACTCAACCAAGTTCAAATAGTCACATAACATATTATTACATTATTTAAGAAAGGGAAATAGAACACCAATAAACCGGGACTAGTCCCTATCACCACATACTTTACTGAGGGTTGCGCGTTACCCCAAATGACCATGAAATAAACAGAATGTCCCTAGTGTGCACACCCCTCACTAATACCCAGTGATTAGGAGGAAGACTAACAACAATATACAATAATTTAAACCAACTAGTAGCAACCATAACTAGTAGTGGGAAACCTGTTCTTCACCCTTCAGGTTTCATTTCCCTTCTTAAATTAAATTTCACTGTACATTTTATTATATTAAATCATCCAATTACACTGTGCACAAGTATTGCACAAATTAATTTAATCCCAACTAACAACATTTCAATATCAATATTATCCGAACATAGTCATCCTACATCACATAGAAACTATCAATCACATATAATCCATCATCCAATTCCCAAGATTTTATTTATTTTAAAAACTCATACAATAACAAATAATCAAATTTTTCGAAAATACATATACTAGTACACAAAATAGAAAACTGGTATATAATATAATTCCATAATATCATACGATAGCACACTCATCACATATAATTACGTAAGCACATATTTGGCACACAATATTTCAAAACAATTTTCTAACGGGATATTAGAGATGATGAACATTTAAAGTTACCTTGATCGTGCGTAAAACTCAAGGTAATTAACCTCCGGAACGTTCACCTAGTAGCCTCCGTCTACAAATGAACGATTCTAAATTAGATAATTATACGACTATATAAAAAAAAAATTGAGGGTGTGATTAATTTATCACAACCCATAATCTAGTCACCCCAAAAACAAAATATAAACAACTAATTATAGAGTTAGATGAATCGTATTATATCATCATCATCTCCATCATTATCATCATCACTATCACTGACATTATCATCATCACTATCACCCATTATCATCATCACCCAAATCCCAAAATCTACTAACAATCAATACGAAGTCCCCCCCTTTTTTTTCTTTCTTTTTTTTGAAAATCAATCAACACAAAAATTTAACGGACCAAATATTAAAACCAAAACAATGGAAAGTGATGAGTTGCAGGTGTCTTCCGAACTCGGCAAATTCGGCTCCGAATTTTTTTTTTTTTTTTTGAAATAATCCATTACTCTTTATGAAAAGCTTTTGGGTGTAAAACATTATGGTGCTGTGCTATGATTTCCTAGTGAAAGGCAAGGTTGGGGTTTTTTAAGAGGAAGTTTACCAGAGAAAAGATTGAAAGTACGTTATTGAAATTTGAGGTTAAGAGGGGGTTTATTTAATTGAGTTGTTTGGCTTTGACTCTAGAAGTTTCACAAGAAAAGGGTCAAACTTATCTTGAGTTTGTTACATAATCTCATTAAACATATTTTCAAAATTCCTTTTTATCAGCTTTCAAAACAATCTCTGTATGTTATCCAAAATCAGTTTTTTTTTTTTTTTTTTATAGTTTTATTTTTAAAATCCTAAAATAATAATAATAATAATAATATTACAATTTGAAAATAATAATAATTAGTTTTAAAGTTTATTTTTGAATAGAAATCGTTGACTAAAAATACTCCAAAATTTTGGGGTATTACATCTACTCCCCTAAAACGAAAGTTCGTCCTCGAACTTGAAAGTTAGGTAGCTCTCAGAATAAAGCATACACGATGAAAAAAGATAAGTTAGTATTATATCCTACCTCCCTTTAAGAGTTTCGAACTCGAAACTTAGCGTACCTGCTCAAAAAGTTCTGGGTAGCGTTTTTCATATCATGTTCCACTTCCCAAGCCGCTTCTTCAGAATTCTGATTAGACCATAACACTTTAACTAACTTTATCGCCTTATTTCGATTACTTCTTGTTTTGGTGTCGAGAATTTTCACAGGGCGTTCTTCAAAAGTTAAGGTCTCATCTAGCTCAATAGTTTTGGGTTGGATAACATGGGTAGGGTCATGAACATACTTTCGGAGTTGGGAAACATGAAAAACGTTATGAACATTGTCTAACTCCGTGGGTGAGGCTAGTTGATATGATACTTCTCCAACTCTCTTCAATACTTCATACGAGCCAATGTATCTTAGACTCAACTTCCCTTTTCTACCAAACCGCATGACTCCCTTGGTAGGTGAAACCTTAAGTAAAACTTTTTCCCTAACTTCAAATTCCACTATTCTCCTGTTCTGGTCTACATATGACTTTTGTCGATCCTGAGCTGCCTTCATGTTTGCCTGGATAAGCCTAAATTTCTTGGTTGTTTCTTCAATCATTTCTGGCCCCAAAGTCAAAGACTCACTGATATCACTCCAACACAAGGGACTTCTACATTTTCTCCCATACAACGCTTCATAAGGTGCCATTCCTTTGCTCGCATGATGGCTAATATTGTATGAAAATTTGATCATAGGTAAACTTTCGTCCCACGATCCACCAAAGTTCATCACACAAGCTCTCAACATGTCCTCCAAGGTCTGAATTGTTCTTTCTGTCTGTCCATCTGTAGTAGGGTGAAATGATGTGCTAAACTTCACGATAGTTCCAAATGCTTGCTGAAACATTTCCCAGAACTTTGATAAAAATCTTGGATCTCTGTCTGAAATAATATCTTTAGAAACTCCATGTAGCCTCACAATTTCATTAATATAGACATTTACAAACTGATTCACATTCCAAGTATCCTTTATTGCTATGAATCTTGTTGTTTTCGTTAGACGATCAACTATGACCAAATAGCATTCTTTGCCGCCCTTGTAAGTGGTAATCCCATCACAAAATCCATAGAGATAGACTCCCACTTCCATCCTGGCATATCTAACGATTGCAGCTTACCTCCAGGTCTCATATGTTGTATCTTCACTTTTGGACATGTAAGACACTTTGCCACAAACTCAGATACTTCACGCTTCATGTTTGGCCACCAAAAATGTTGCTTAAGATCCTTATAGAGCTTATCTCCTCCCGGGTGCACAGAGTACGGGGTGTTGTGAGCTTCTTCTAAAATCTTCCTTTTGAGATCTTCATTTTTAGGAATACACCATCTCCCTTTGTATTTTACTGTTCCACTATCATCTACATCAAACTCAGTTGTTGTTCCTTCTTCTTTCATATTTCTCACCTTGGTCAACCAATCATCTAACATTTTCTTCTCACGAATCTCATCATATATAGTAGGTTTGACTGACATTGCATTCAACTAAGCGTTCACTTGGACATACTCCACAACCTCCAAGTTCAAATTCCTAAATTCTTCACAAAGTTCCTTGGCTAAAATCATAAAGTTCACTGTATGACTTGTCTTCCTACTCAAAGCATCAGCTACCTTGTTCTCCTTTCCTTTGTGATATAGAATGTCTGGGTTGTAGTCGTTTAGTACCTCAAGCCATCTCCTTTGCCTCATGTTCAAATGATTCTGTGTGAATTTATATTTTTAAGACTCTTATGGTCCGTATACACCTTGCATCTCACACCATACAAGTAGTGTCTCAAGATCTTGAGAGCAAAAACTACAGCTCCTAGCTCCAAATCATGAGTACGGTAATTCTGTTCATGTTGCTTGAGCTGCCTTGATGCATAAGCTACAACCTTCCCATGTTGCATAAGTACACACCCAAAGCCATTCTTAGATGCGTCACTATGGATTTCAAACCCCTCAATCCCTGACGGTAAGGTTAAGACTGGTGCTGAGGTGAGTCTTCGCTTCAATTCTTGAAAAGATTGCTCACACCTCTCTTCCCACTGAAACTTAGTAGTTTTCTTCATCAAATTTGTTAAGGGTTGAGCTATCCTCGTAAAGTCTTGTACAAATCTCCTATAGTATCCAGCAAGCCCTAAGAAACTTCTCACTTCGGTCACACTTTTAGGTCTTGGCCAATCAGAAACTGCTCGGATCTTAGATGGGTCCTTCGCAACCCCTTCCTTTGAGATCACATGGCCTAGAAATGCTACCTTCTCTAGCCAAAATTCACATTTTGAGAATTTAGCATACAACTTATTTTCTCTAAGAATCTCCAACACTTTCCATAGATGTTCTTCGTGCTCTTCTCTATCCCTTGAGTACACAAAAAATCATCTATGGACACCACCACTTACTTATCCAAATATGGTTAAAAAGTTCTATTCATGAGATCCATAAAAGCTGCCGGCGCATTAGTGAGTCCAAAAGGCACAACAATGAACTTCGTATCTCGTGCGAAAGGCTGTCTTTGGTATATCTTCCCCAACAATCCTCAACTAATACCAATTTATAACACCCCTCAGCAATCCTCAGCTTTTATGACATAGAAACTATCAAATTGCTCTGATACCAATTTGTAACACCCCCAAAATTCGAGTCTTTTAAAAACAATAAGAGTAACCTTTAACTTTCAAAAACCCAACCATAGAACGCTGGGAGTGTTACTGCTACACTTATTTTCCGTAGAAATAAATGCAAAGCAAAAATAACATAATATTTAAATAAACTAAGTGGTCTAAGTTGTGGCAAAATAATATAGTTATTTCATCAAAACTGCAATTATTTTGAAACCAATAGTTGAAAGGAAATAATTAAATTCGGAAATAAACTAAATTGTCTTAGCTACGTGATTATTCTAACGTCTCCACACACGTAACCGAGTACCCTTTTACCAACCTGCAAAATAAATCAGATTCAAGAAAAGAGAGAAAACTTTCAAAAATCAGATAAACTGAGTAATTCCAACTCCATCCCGTAAAATAAATAATTTTAGTTCAAAACATTTTATACATAATATAGTCTCATAAATATTTTAATACACAAACAAGTTCAAATAGTCACATAACATATTATTACTTTATTTTAGAAAGGGAAAGAGAATGCCAGTAAGCCGGGAATAGTCCCTGTCACCACCTACTTTACAGAGGGTCGCGTGTTACCCCAAATGGCCATGAAATAAACTGAATGTCCCTAGTGTGCACACCCCTCACTAATACCCAGTGATTAGGAGGAAGACTAACAACAATATACAATAATTTAAACCAACTAGTAGCAACCATAACTACCAGTGGACAACCTGTTCTTCACCCTTGCGGGTTTCATTTCCCTTCTTAAATTAAATTTCATTGTACATTTTATTAGATTATATCATCCAATTACACTGTGCACAAGTATTGCACAAATAAATTTAATCCCATGTAACAACATTTCAATTTCAATTTTATCCAAACATAGTCATCCTACATGACATAGAAACTATCATTCACCTATAATCCATCATCCAATTCCCAAGATTTTATTTATTTTATAAACTCATACAGTAACAAATAATCAAATTATTCGAAAATACATATACTAGTACACAAAATAGAAAACTCATATATAATATAATTCAATAATATCATACGATAGCACACTCATCTCATATAATTATGTAAGCACGTATTTGGCACACAATATTTCAAAACAATTTCCTAACGGGATTCTAGAGATGATGGACATTGAATATTACCTTGATCGTGCGTAAAACTCAAGGTAATTAACTTCCAGAACGTTCACCTAGTAGCCTCCGTCTACAAATAAACGATTCTAAGTTAGATAATTATACGACTATAAAAAAAATTAAGGGTGTGATTAATTTATCACAATCCATAATATAGTCACTCCAAAAACAAGATATAAACAAATAATTATAGAGTTAGATGAATCGTATTATATAATCATCATCACCATCACCCATCATCATCATCACCGACATTATCATCATCACCATCACCCATCATCATCATCACCGACATTATCATCATCACCCAAATCCCAAAATCCACTAACAATCAATATGAAGCCCCCCCCCCTTTTTTTTCTTTTTTTTTTTGAAATCAATCAACACAAAATTTTACGGACCAACTATTAAAACAAAAACAATGGAAAGTGACGAGTTGCAGGTGTCTTCCGAACTCGGCAAATTCGGCTCTGAATTTTTTTTTTTTTGAAATAATCCATTACTCTTTATGAAAAAGCTTTTGGGTGTAAAACAATTATGGTATTGTGCTATGATTTCCTAGTGAAAGGCAAGGTTGGGGTTTTTTAAAGAGGAAGTTTATCTGAGAAAAGATTGAAAGTACGTTATTAAAATTTGAGGTTAGGGGGGGTTTATATAATTGAGTTGTTTAGCTTTGACTCTAGAATTTCACAAGATAAGGGTCAAACTTATCTTGATTTTGTTACATAATCTCAGTAAACATATTTTCAAAATTCCTTTTTATCAGCTTTCAAACCAATCTCTGTATGTTATCCAAAATCATTTTTTTTTAATTTGAAAATAATAATAATAATATTTTTACAATTTGAAAATAATAATAATTTGTTTTAAAGTTTATTTTTGAATAGAAATCGTTGACTAAAAATACTCCAAAATTTTGGGGTATTACATAAAACAACTTTCGTAACACCATTGGGTACATACTGTTACACGGTAATGCCATTTGGGTTGAAAAACGCGGGTGCTACTTACCAACGAGCAACGA